ACTGATGGTCTGAGTCCTGAAAAAAGATGGTCATATCGAGTTTATAGAAATTGAATCTGAACATTAGATCTTGCTGAACCACTTATGCTATGCTTTTAGCTAAATAAAAGACAGTTTCCAGGTGGAATATATGACCTTTTGTATAGGTTACACTTGAAGTGTAACCTCTCTAGTCTTATATCAAGCTCGTTATCGGAAAACACGATTCCATATTCTACATTTTGCACGCGTCCATCTCGGGCTGGTTTTATTTATTCTGAAAGTGGAACAGGGACGGCATTGGGCTGCAGAACAGAAAGTGATAAAGCCAGACAATGATAAGAATGGGAATTACAAAAGAGAGAGAGAGACAGACAGAGAGATGGCCAGTGGGAAGAGGAAGGTGGTACGGCCGCACATTTGCCACATCACTTATTAGCTTTATTGCTTTTAACAATTTGAGCTTCCGCTGCTTGGCAGCGCCAACTAAAACGTGTGCTGATTAGTGCCAGGAGTCGTAGCAGGAGCCGTGGAGCGGTTGCAATATTCGTTGTGTGGCAACGCCATAAATTTCTGTGGCGCAGCCAGGCTAGGCTAGCAGCCCACGCAAAGAGCGGCGTATGCAACATTTAACATTGCAGACAATTTATAAGGACATTCATGGCACACGGCACAGACAGGAGGCGCAGGAAGAGGCAAATGCAGGGGCAGTGGCAGTGGCATAGGCGATGGCAATGGCGACGAATGCAGCGCATAGCGAGGCCAGGCACATGCTTGGCACTTGCCAATCCCCGCCCCTCACGCTCGTCCCTCTCCCATATGCTTTTTTCTCGCATTGTGTTTGGAATTCAACATTTAAGCCACTTATGGCCAAGTTGAACTGGCATTTCAAAGGCTGCGACGGCAACGGCCGCAGGACAATGCAGGTTAGCAAGATTTATGGCAGACAAGGAGACAGTTGGAGAGCTAGAGAGGACTACAGAGAACGAGAGAGCGAGCGAGCGAAGGGGATAGTGGGAGAGCAACTAGATAGAGTGACGCCTTGACGCGCTTTTATGTGCCGCTTCGGTCGCAGTGGCATGCACATTGTGGCCATGGTGTGACTAATCCTTGCGACTGCGAGTGCCCGACAGCGTTTAAAATAAAGCAATAGCATGTGGCATGCAGCATGCTGCTGTGGCGTGTAATAAATGGTCATATGCCAACTGCTAACTGCAATTATCTGGGCATTAGACGAAGGTAACCGTCCTCAGCCGCTCCTCGCACAAATCCAGACCATATCCAGCCCACTTCGATCAACAAAAGTTTTGCTCACAGTCCTCCGCTCTGCCCTAATAGATGAGCACTTCCTGCACTTCCGAAGACAAAGGCTGGAAGCGTTCATTGGGGACAGCTGCAAATGCTGGCCAAAAAATTTTGTGCATGCAAATAACATGGCTGGAAGCTACTGCCCGACCAATTCCGATGGAGCCACAGCAATGTCTGGCGGGGATCTGTCCGTAAAATGTGCGGAAAATTAGAATCAGAGTGCGGCAGTCACAAAGGGGGCGGGGCGTATCTGTGCACGCCATTTAGATAAATTGTATTTATTTTGTCCGACAATTGTATTCTCGTTCGGGGCGTTGCTCTACACACAAATGGTGTGTAGAAGTGCCATAAGTCCAGCCAGCCAACGAGGCCAACAAACGTTTTCGTAATGCTAGCAAAAACCTTTTGTTCAATGCAGAGACTCTAAAGTCAATCACTCGCATACATATAAATTCTATTCAGATTCCGATATAGTTCAAGCACGAAGGCAACACAAGCAAAGATTGCAGAGATGAAAACATTTCATTATGATTATAATTCCACTTATTCCACATATGATTAAGAGACAGCATTTGCTGGCTGCCACATTTTGAGGACAAACATCATAGCCTCTCTTCCTCCTGCAGTACTTAGCCCCTGCTCCACCTCGAAAATAATATTGAATGCTGCAGTAATAAACTAGGCAACCGTTTCCACGGGCTTCGTGCGGATTTCTTGAGGCGCCGAAGTAAATCAAATGAGGGCGCAAGTCGCTGACAGAGAATCGCTTCTCCCATAGGGGAGAATCGGCAAGTAGCAGTCGAAAAATATAGACAATGCTTATAAATAGCAGGCAGGCAATTCAATGCGTGACTTGACTGAGCAACTCGTGCCAGTACACGAGAGCAAGTTCAACTTTTAATCAGGGACTGACAAAAAAGAAGAAGAAGGAGCGACGAAGAGCGAAAAAAACATAACTATTAAAAAGGAAACGTAATAGTGTCGCACACACATAAAAACCGTTTGTCGACTGCTGGAAAAAAACAAGAGGGAGTCCTAAAAAGGATGCCGATGAATTTGATAAGCCTTCTGATAAGCGCCAAGCGGCAGACGCCGCGTCGCTCACTTTACTTCAAAATGGCGTCAGAAAATACATTTTGAAACGAGCAGCGAAAACGTGAGTTGATTAGCAACGACCCAGCCAGTATCACTGACAATGTATGTGTGTGTGAGTGTGTGTGTGTGCCATTTTGTATCATAGACAACTTTAATGCGCGCTGCCAAAAGATTTCAACGGCCAAAATGAGTCGCCACATTAGTGACGCAGATCCTGATGGCCAATAAAAACGGCGTACATTAAACGCGTATGTTAAACACGTTCCTCTGGCATATGTCATAAACGCAACTTTTTACCGAGAAACTTGAGTACTCGCTTCACACTTTGAGTATTGAGCGAAAATACAATATAAAATAAATTATTCTTATTATCATTATTATTAGTTTATATATATATTTTTTTTGTAAGTGAAAAAACGGAAGACTTAAAATGAAAAAATTAAATAAAATCAACATATACTTAAAATAACAGAAAGTTTTAATTATTCTACAGAACAAAGAACCTTAAACATTTACCTTAAAATCAAATCTTAAATATGCGGATAGCTTTATATGTATATTATAAAAAATAATTCTAAAAATAAAAATAAAAACATATTCTATTGAAATAACATATATGCAATTATATATATGTATATATATATATGTATATATTTATTTTATTTTTTTTTCATAAACACGAGATATAAAGAAAGATAGTTAGTCTTCAACATACAAAATAAATTCTCATAATATTGTCGCTGCTTACTGCACAGAGCAGAGCGCGGGCTTATGTGTCCGCATTGTATGTATGCATGTGTATGTGTGCATAAAAAAAGTGCAGAATGTTTAGAATATCACCTTAGCGGGTTCAGAGTATCTCCTAGTCGAGCAGTCTTAGCTAGAGAATTCTTACTTGTTTTTATTTCTTTTAGATTTTCTTTATTTCAAGCTGCAACGTTTTACGATTCACCAGTATAATCAAATATAGCCAATTGTCATTTAGGCCAAATGCAAATCGGCCGGATTAAAATTAAAATCATGACATTCATCTACACTCGTCATTGCAATTGATGAATGGCTGACCTACATACGTTGTCGAGCTAACAATGAAATGATAAAAGTCAGTTTATCGATCAATTTTCATTTTCTCACTCAAGTGTCAAAATCACTATAGCCTTATAAATGTATATGATGTAACCCAGCCAGATTTAAATTTAAATAAATTAAAATAAATATTTGAATTTTTCTTGTAATTTTAAAATACAGTAAAATACTATTATGAGTGCAACAAATATTTAAATCGCTTTTCAAACAACTATTTATGAATCTATAACGAATAAAAAGCTTCAAGAGATTACAGAAATTCCCTTCAGATATTTAATGCAGATTCGCAATGGAATTTCAATAAAGAAAATTTAGATTCGACCACTGCAGCTCACCCTTTCCCTTAGCAACGGCTGTCAAGAGCGAAACGAGGTCAAGCTGATTGGCAAAGAGGCAAAGGTCAGACGAAAACTATATAAACAAATTGAATGATGTGATCTGGTTATAAAGCTATTTTCGCTCGAGGCCATATCAAAAGTCCAGCTGACGAAATTCACTCAAAATGCGAAACGATAAGCCGAAATGGCAAAAGCCCCAGATGCGGACATTGACAAAGCGCCCAAATATTGGCCCTGTCAACGGCCAGGCCAAAGACAACACAGACGACGCACTCACACAAAACAAGGGAAATTAAAAGCATAAATAAAAACGAGGCCAGGCCCAAAAGGCAGCCGTGCTCGAGCAGCCCAGTGAGGAGTGCCCAAAGAGAAGAAAAACTTGTTAAAATTATGAGATACAGAAATGGATATGTACCATAAGTATTGTAATTCATTTGCCACGATAACAATAACAACAACAACAATAAAATGCTGAGGAGGAAGGCTTGGGAAAAGGCAAAAACCAAAACGAGAATGAAATGCAGCCAAACGCAAAGATTACAACAACAATAAGAAGAAGACGCGACCCCAACACCAAGTGCACTAAAAATTCAACACTTTTCTGTTTGTCTAGGTCGGTGTTGAGAGCTATCTTAAAGGGGGTAGGGGGTTACGGGGTCTTGGGGGGTGTCTATTCGGTGTTTTTTCATGTTTTTTTGTTTTTGGCCCACCCGGCTCTCTCGGCTAACGTAGATAAATTGCGTTAGAAAAAGAGTCGGCGTCCCGGGTCCATTCGTATAATTCACTTTTGTCAGACTCATAAAAATTGTTGAGTGACATTTGTTTGTGTTTCCCGTTTTGCCGGCTTTGCTCGCTGTTGTTATAGTTCTGATTCTGCTTCTTCTCGCACTGATTCCGTGTCCTTTCCACTACAGCACACGCAGACACACACACACACACACACACACACACACAGCAACATTTTTGTTTTGTTTTTGCCACTTTGCTTTTGGACTCTTGTATTTTGTTTGTATTTTTTGTATTTTTGTCGAGCGCTTCGTGTCGCTGTCTGTTTTGTGCCCGCATAAAAGAAAATTAGTGAGCTGCCCCTCTTCACACAACAGAAAATAAAAAAATAAAAATAGGATGAAGGAAATTTACTATAAAGCATTCGTCTCTTAAGGGCTGCTCTGCCGATGTTCTACTTGAAGGTACACGAACTGACAGAGGTTTCCGGCATGCAATGCAAAAACAAATATAAATAATAATAAAAACGAGTTAACAAATGGCCAAACACAAATTGCTTTATATAAATAAAATTGCAAGTAATTTTTATTCTGCTGGCTTTGTGAAATGCAGTTGGGCATTTGCGGGATTTGAGGAATCCGGCATTGAAATGCTGTGAATGCTTGAGGTGTTTTTCACAAAACTGCAATAAAATTATTAAAGCCAAATTTAAATTTAGCCATGGATATTTAATGCTTAAATGGAATGCATGCTTATTACTAAAAGATTTCATTTACTAATTGATTTAATCCGAAAATGTAGATATTAAGCATTTTTTATGGTAGATAGATATATGTAGTAGGTAAATAGTATAAGAGTGGAGCTCACTGAAGCTCAAATCATCCGGCTAATTGTTTTGATTGGTAGTCAACGAATGCACATAAAATAGGAATCGAAAACGAAAAGTATGAAACGAAACAATGTAAATAAATAAGTAAGAAAGCTCTAGAGAGTAGTAGATATAGTGAAGTAGACTTGGTATAGCCAAAAATTGAATTTCTAGTCCCTAATCAATAATAATTATAAATATTATTGTGCATAAGCATATCAACATTTAGCTCTGGAGCAGCATAAAGATGCAATCCGTGCTTGTTTGCATATGTATTCATAAATGTATGTGTATCTATCTGTCTCTCAGTCTATCTCACAATCTGTCTCTCTTTCATTCCTCCAAATGAAATGTAAGCAGAAAAACTTCAGAAGATCATTTATGTTGTCTATATGTATGCAGCAGTATTCATTTGATATTTATATTTGAGTTAAACGATGTTAGAATGCTCTTATCAGCAGAGAGAGAGCTCTCATTGGTCACTTGAAGGTCGACACCGAGCTCAACATTTGAGAGCGACTTTGGCTTTGAGTGGAAGCTGCCCTATATAAAGGGCAGCAGCTGTAGAATTTCTTCAGTTAATCGTGCAGATCAGTAGAGTGAAGTGAATTGTGTGATCGTTCAGCTAAGCATTAAAGACGTAGAGCAAATACTTGGAGGAAACATTTGAAGAAAATTCTTTGAGGAAATACTTTGAGCAAATACTTAGACCAAAAACTTAAATACTTATAAAAAAAATACTTAAAATAAATACTTAGAGGAAATACTTGGAGGAACTACTTGAACAAAAAACTTAATGGAAATAGTTCATGGAAATACTTATAGAAATAGAAATTCATACAAGAAATACTTGTAAAAAAAATGCTTGAAATAAATAAATAAATGAAAAAACGTAGAGTAATAAATAGTTGTTAAATTAAACATTAAAATATATATTCATAAGGTTAGTGGCAAACTTTACTATTCCAAAGTGAAGTAATTCTAGAGTAGATCGGACATCATATTGAAATGTCGTGATTTGCATTAGCCGAATTAAATTTATATGTTGGGTTTTTTATATTTAACAATTTAATGTTACCTTTGATAGTTGCTCAAAATTCTACCAACCAGGCAATAATATATTTCACAAAGTAATCCTAAATAAAGTATCAAATATTGAATATTTTGAATAATATTGATATTCATGAGGTTCCTTGTCATCTTATTTACCCATGCAAATACTTTTTAGAATGGATTTTTATTTCTATATATATCTACCCATTGGCTCTGTCGCTTACCCACAATATATGTATTATTTAAAGTATTTGCACACACACACGCACGCATATTGCAGCAATCAAAAGTAGCTGTGGGTGGGCCAGCTCCCCTATACGCCCCCTGCAAGCGCAGCCATCTGCACTCTGAACTTTTTCAACTACCCCGCGCACAATCAATTCACGTGTTACTTGTATTTTTTAAAGTCAACATTGGAAGTTGCTTTGGCATATTGAACTTTTAGCACCTGTGCCCAGCGCTTGCTCTAACGAACCACAAAAACGTGGCACCACCGCACCGCTCGGACTCCCGCTCAGCTCTCCGACCACCACCCTTGGAAATCACAGCTTGTACGTGCAGAGTTTTAGAGTCGAGTCGAGTCGAGTCGATTCAGTTGAACTGTCCGAGCGGATGGTCGAGCAGCCAATGCAACTGCGCTTATTAACAATCCTCTGAGAGAGAATGACTTCATCCTCTGCACATTTCCTGACATTTTCCACATTAATGAAGTGCTGCTGTGTCTGTGTGGATGGGTCTGGGTGGATGCTTGTCGGTGTGGCATCAAGTTGTTGGGAAGTGCTCCGGCGTTGATTACATGAGAAATTCATGCGCAAATTCAAATTTAAAATTAGGAAACAGCGAGGGAAATAGAAGCAGCTGGAAGTAGCTGCTCACCTTTTAACCAGAACTTGAGGGTTGTGTGCCTTTAAGGTGCTCTGTGGTCTGCTTTAATGGAGAGCAGGTGGCCCGTCCACGGCCTCCACGCCCACGTCCACGCCCACTTGTCTCTGTCGCTGCCCACTGCAGTGGAAATGTTTCCAATGCGCTGCATTCAAATATTATCAATTTGGCAACTAACGATTCGGCCCGACGCTAACTGATTGAATTGTTACAGCGCTTTACGTGTGCCGCATGGCAAATGCGCTGCCTCCCCAACTACAGTTTTTTTATTTCTTATATATCGTTGCTCGTTTGCTCTGACTGTCGGTTCAGCCAGATATCAAAGAATGGCTCTGCGTGAGAGAGAGGGGGCAGGAAAAATCAATTTCACAGAAATAAATTGTTGAATTTCTGGTCTATATTGCAAGCGCTTTACAGCACTCACACACACAGTCATAGACACGCACACGCACAGTGGCTGCATTTTGTATGCGCCGCTCTGCTGTGGTCAACCGGACGATTATTAAAAATGTTTTTCATTTAAGAATTCCTAGTTGAATTATTAACATATTTCAGCAAACCATAAATACATATTAAATATCTCGCCACACATTTTTTCCCGTAATAAATCACTCTGAACTGCATGTCATTGGAACGTCTCATTAGGCCCCACCCGCGCTAGAGCCAACGCGTTAATCTATTTAATTATTTAGTCAAAGGCTCGGGCTATATCGATTGCTCGCATCTCGCCTCCGCACACTCAAACACACACACACACACACACACACACACAGCATAATCGTCTTCTTAATCCATAGTATAATTTATTAAGCAACATTTGGAGGGAGGTCGAACAAAAAATTAATGTGGAAGCTTGGGCGAAAACAAATAACATTTATTCAATAAATTTAGCCGATATATCGCACTATTCTGAACGTTTAATATGAGGGCAAGCAAGCAGGGGAGTAGAGAGAGATCGCAGAGAGAGGCTTCAAAACTCCGCTCTCTCTTAATTTCAGCCATCTCTCATTTATATCCAACTTTTACATATAAGGTTAACCGAACTCTGAGGCTCGAGCTTACTCAACTAATGAATATAGACAAACCAAAGTGCAAAGTGGTTGAGCAGAAAGCGAGCAGCTTAATTATATAACCCCACCCGAACAATATAGCGGTAGCACATTGCTCATACGGCGTGTATGACGTGGCCACGGCACAATGCTGCTAATTGTTCCTGAATGACAACTCACATTTTGGTATAAATTCTATTGGCACGTGTCTGAAACAAACTGCGGCGCAAAATAGCCGAGAAATGTGTGTTAAATAAGCGCATAAAAGCATTGAAAGTTTTGCCACTTGCCCGCATCGAGTGACAGCCTGGCCAGCAGCCCGGACGCCATTTCATCGCCGCCATTTTGCCAAATCATCATCAACTCTGCGCCGAGCGAAGCACTTTAATTTAAAGCTCTGCTTTTTTAGATGCCCGGGCTACCCAGGCCTCTCAAGTTTTGGCACGTTTTGCGTGTTTATTCCGGCATTCATTTCGCCAATACCTCGAACTGAACTTCATTAAAAGTGAGCTGCTTTTCGTTTTCGTATTCCCTGAACCCATTAAAAAGGCCATTGCAGGGTAGATTGATTTTCATACAATGTATGCAACAGACAGAATGAGCTGTGTCAGATATTATAAACTAAATATATTCTTGAACAGACTGTCCAAGTTTCTCTTTTAATGGCAATAATTATATGTTTGATGCTTCCGGATCCTAAGTTGCGATTCGATTGCATTAATCTGTTAACTTTGTTTCCACACACACTTTGCAGATTCTGGCCAGAACCTAGGGTATCTTCGAGTCGAGTCGGGCACATCCTACTGTACATCACTCTTACTTCCTTCAATTTGAATTGTTTTAGCCGTAGGTTTGATTGCGCCACGCCACACGTTTCGCGCTATGCATTAACATTTTTATTCAATTTGTGTATGACGTTTGTTCAGCGCTTCCATTTCCATTTCCGATATGAGAGAGACAAGAGTCCATTATAGTTGACAGCATTACCAAAACAAATTTATACAAGGCCATGTCAACGTCTCTCTCGCTCACACTCACCCTCTCTCTATCTCTCCTACGTTGTCACGAGAAGAAACAAATTTTTTGTTTAACAACCACTTATTTAGATTATATTTGCTGATTTCCATTTATATTCCACTTAATACGAGTCACAGTGTCTCGTGTCTGGTGTCTCGACTCTTGTATCTTGTATCTGCGCAGTGTATCTAACGGCGTATCATTTCCCCGTTGTTTGCCCGAGTTGCCGGCACTCGAACATGATTGATAATTCCGATGATTCATGCGTGTAATTCAGCCCTGCGATTTGGTCTCTAGTGTCTGCTCTCTGGTCTATAGTCTCTGGTGACTGGCCTCTGAGTCTGCAATAGCGCACCTACCTCATGTCATTTATGATAAATTCATGCGTCACGCTATTTATTCTAACTCAGAGGCCTGGACTTTGGTTTTGGCTTAAGTTCCAAGTTTAGTTAGTAGCATTGAGTGCTCAAGCATCGCACACCAGTTTCCAGCTCAATTAAATTCAGTAGCGCCCTGAATGTGCGGTTGGCAGTGAGCTTGCCCAATGCTCGTCAACAATGTAAACAACCGCAAACCCCATTAAATGGAAGCTAATTAAAATTCAGCACGTTCCTGTGTCACTCAGCCAGCCACACTCAACTCCCTCCCCACAGCCCCCTTCGACCAGTCATAACTTGGGCCATAAAACCATCAACAGCCAGGCAACCGTCGAGTGGATCATCACAAGTATTGCAGCACATTTCGCCTATTAATTGTGAGAAGTTTTCCACAATTCGGCTCAGAGCATTGGCCATTGGGCGCAGACACAGTTGCAGAGCCAACAATTTGTTACCTTGTGCTCAGCTTGAGGTCGCCCCCCTCCCATGGGGCATGGATTATAATGAAATTTTGCAACATTTGAGCTCAGCAGAGCTGTCAATCCGGCCCCACACACCTGCAGCTGAGGCAGTTGCTTGCTCAACTCGTCAACATTGCAACTATAAATTGCAACTATAGATTTATTCGGAATCGAACGGGAATGGTATATATGGGCACATTTCACTCACAAGATTGACAGGAAATTTATAAATTTACTTTACTTAGTGAGCTACAACTTTTGCTATCATTATTATTTCCATTAATCTTGTCTATGACACTGATATGGACATTATCCTCATCAGACTTTTTCAAGCCTTCTTTAATATGGTACATAGTTCGATATTGTTGTTAGTTTCATATACATGGAATTTATAATTTTAAAATTATTATTAAAATACAATAAAAAAAAAAAAAATTAAAAAAAATAAATAAAAAAAAATTAATAATGAAATTATAAGTAAAATAAAAATTAAAAAAAAAATAATAATAAATAAATACATAATAAAAAACAATATCAAGTTTTTAACAACGAAGTTAGATTATATTATATAGAACCTAATCTTCTCCATTATCATTGTCTTTGTATTACTCATTTGTATTACTATTTACTACTATTTGTATTACTCATATTATTTTAATTTATTTTCTTATTTAGCAATTA